TAAAGGCTCATCCGTCGCTTTCAACACATCCCGGAACTGATTAGATTGAAAAGTTTCATTATAGACATTCTCATCAAAACCCGTTACTCCTATATCTTCCAATTGTGAAGCATGACTAGTACCCACTTGTTCACGTGTAGGAGTAAAACTAGTACTTAATTACTCATAAATCATGTAGTGATAGATTCATGCAAACTGTCTCGTCCACATAAATCATTTAGGGCTCCATTGATAGAGTAATGTGTGTGGCTTCCAAGGTTAGGTGTATGCGGGACGCTGAGATTCCAACATAAAATCTGCCACATTCCAATAAGCGCTTAATTACTCACTCGATCTAATTATCTCCAGCATTTTTCGTCCCACAGAGAAAGAGACGAAGAAGAGTATTTTAATTGATTCCATCTAATGAAAAATTAACCTTATTTCATACACAAATTATGTAAACTTTTGTGTAAATATGATATAAATGATGCCTAGTATCGCCAAGTTAATTTCTTTTTTTTTTTGGGGGGTAAGAAAAGGAGGCAAAGTGCCAAAGCCCAATTGTTACAATATTACATTGCGTGAATCAGAGATGACTGGATCTCAATATCAGCGATTTCTAATGGAAATTCACCGGAAGGACCATATTGAAATTTCCTGCAAAGATTTAGAATTAAATTGGTAAGATTGAAAAGTTTAGGATTGACTTGTCATCCATCCAATAAGTTTAAGATTAATTGGTTAATTTTTCCATTCTACTGCCATTCGCATTTTAATTTCTTGAGCGGTTGATTTGTTTTGTTCCTCCGATTCCCTTTTTTCGATGTCTCCAAAGAATCTTTGACCTTTTACAATGCAGCTGGTCAAACCTAGATGTTCGTCAATTCCGACGCAAATAAAACATAGAAATATAATGCAAACAACATTTTCTTGTAAGGTTTCTTAAAAATCAAGAGTAAGAGGGAATATCCATTTTAGCATAATACTAATTTTATCCATGAAAAGAACGAGTTTATAGCAAACGATGTTGATGGTCAATTTCTAGCTGTTAAAAGTTTCAAAAATCATTTGAAATTGAATAAAAGTATTGAGCCCGTGCGACATGGTGCGATGCATGGGTAGCCAAGCCGTAAAAATCATATTTCGTTATCGTGTAAAATCCCGAATTAGATCCCCCATAAGCTCTTAATTTACATGTCTCTTCTTATCGTCTTCTTTCATATTCTTCTAGGTCTTCTCCTGCCCCCTTCTAGTTATAGCACGAGTCTTCATCCCTCGATCACATCTTCTCAGTTGGGCCAGCCATATGAGAAGGTCTTCCTCCAGGTCGACCAAGCCATATCCTATTTGCTTCTCTCTCATCTTATCCTCAATTGGATAGAAATTTACTTTCTCTCAGATACAATTAGGGAAAATTACCCAAAAAATCCCAAATTTAATGTATGTATGGCAATTCAGTCATAATCTTTTTAATTTGGCCAATTTAGTCCTAAACATTTTTTCGATTTGCCAATGTAGTCATTTCGGCCAATTTTGGCAAGAAATAACTGACGTGGACGCTGGCCATCCTACGTGGCACGACCAGTGCTGACGTAAATAATTTTTTGCAACTTTTAAAATTTCTTTTCTAAAAAAAGGGAAAATTTCAACAAAATTTTAAGAAATTTGCAAAAATTTTCCGCATCAGCGTCGGCCGTGCCACATAAGACAGCCGGTGTCCACATCAACAATTTCCTGCTAAAATTGGCTTGAAAGATTATATTGGCAAATCGTCAAAAGGTTTAGGACTAAATTGGCTAAATTGAAGAGTTTACAAGTGAATTGACATCCGCACAATAGGTTTATGACTTTCTTGGTAATTATCCTATCATTTTCATCAATAATCAAATTTCAGTTTCCAAAACCAAGTATTCCTAATTAACATCATAGGGGATCTTTTCACTAAATTTCCCTAGGCCATTTTATTATGAATATCTTGATTCATTCCCTTCATCTCAAACTAGGTTTTCGCCAATCACGAGTCCATAGATTATCAGGAGTCCATAAGACAATGAAAATGCAAACCCTAGATAGCACATAGTTAATTAGGGCTTGCGTTCGTAGCTCACAAAAGGTCATGGTCTAGCATATTGTCATTTAATATTGTTTGACTTACTCCATTAAGAAACAAATGCGATCAGGATCATACCACCTCGTTGACTCTAATTAGCTGGTTTCGTAATTAATTAGGGAGGAAACTCAATGCAGAACGATTCATGCGTCATTCCCCAAGTGATCTGACCACTCAGAAACTGAAAGGCACATGATCCTTGCCTGTTCACGGACATTGCCGATTCAACTCAACGTACGAAATGGTATGAAAAAGAGACGCGATTGAGCATCTAATACCATAAGCTGGCCGATGCCGATGTGGGGTCGATCCGAAATTGAGTATTCCCACATCAATCTCGCTCATCGATCAGTGTCCAACCTTCCAATCGCCATCGTCACAAGCACGACAAACACTTGACCTTATCTTGGATTGTCGTCGTAATCAGCATCATTGTTTTATCTTCTCATATCAATCCAGAGCCACATGAAACGGCTGGGAATCTTGTTCTCCGGGAGAGAGCCTGGCACAAGTGATTGAGTCGGGAGGTACAAAAGTTTCGTTTTCATGGGGTCATGATTATGATCAAAAGATCTGGAGACTATGGAGAGGTGAATGATTCTTGAGGCCTTTCCCTCCATTGCAGCCAACGGAGGAATCGGTGCTTCCTCATCTTTTAGGAGTAAAGGAGATGAATAGGAACAAGAGGCAGAGGATAAAAACCCTGGCCAATTCTGAATTTGGAAACTTCCGAATGTCTTTTAATAATTTCACGAACATTTGCTGTGCTTATAAGCATAAAGTAGACAAAAGAATGTCACGTAATAGAGGTGATCGATGGACGGGTAGGGATAGGGGCCGGGTCTAAAAATATTGCCCAAGCCGCCCATCCCGGAAAAAGAATATGTAAAAATTATGGGGGCCGGACAGATTTGGCTCGGGTTGAGCAGGGTCACGCCACGCGTTGCAACTATGCATGCTTATTCAGGCCGGTCCAACACTGCCTTCGGGTTGGGATCGGGCTATTGGGCCGTGATCCGGAAAGGTGCCATGTGATCTAGTTTTTACGTGGAGCATCAATTGTAGTCTATATGCACATGGTACAATGTCTTCACCTCACTAGTTACAATTAGTTTTGGTGAGTCGCCACAACCATCTAATACCAAATTAGAGATATGCAATTAGGGTGCATTTGGTATGGGTGCGTTTGGCAACTTGCCAAATAATAACTGATTCTGCTCTTTTGTTCTCAGAATCAGTTTAGGAACAGAAATTCGTTTGTTAAAAAGTAGCTTCTTGATTCTGGAACAATTTTTCCGGAACTGATTCTTCTTGGTTTTCTTCCTTTTTTTTGTTTGTTGTTCTTCGGCCTCGCCACCAGCAAGCCACCGGCCATCAGCGACTGGCCACAAGCTAGGGCCAGTGAGGGCATCGCGGCCCTCGTCGGTGGCCGGCGAGGCCTTGCCCAGCCAAGGCGAGGCCGACCTCGCCGTCGCCACCCAGGTCCGTCGCCTGGGTGGCGATAGCGAGGTCGAGTCTCACCCAACCAAGGCGAGGCCGGTCTCGCCGTCGCCACCCAGGCAACGGACTTGGGTGGCGACGGCAAGGTCGACCTCGCCTTGGCTGGGCAAGGCTCGACCTCGCCTTGGCTGCGCGAGGCTGACCTCGCCGTCGCCTGGGTTGGTGACAGTGAGGTCGGCCTCGTCAGATCTGGGCAAGGTCGAGCCACGCCCAGCCAAGGCAAGGCCGGCGGCGAGGGCTGCGACACCCTCGCCGGCCCTGGCCTGTGGCCAGTCGCCGGCCCCGGCGGCCGGCCATGGCCAAGGAAGGGAGGGGAAAGAAAGAAAAAAAAAAGGGAAAAAAAAGAAAAAAAAAGAAAGAAATATTAAAAAAATTCAAAATATTATTAATAAAAAGAAATTTTTTGTGGTTACCAAACGCATTTCTATTCTTTTTCTATTCTAAGAACAGAAATTTCGGGCAATTACCAAATACCTTCAAATGCTTAGAAATTGTTTCTGGGCATAGAATAAAAAAGAATCATTTCTGTCCAGAATTTATTTCTGGGCACAGAATGGTTGCCATGCGTAGCCTAACTTACCAAATAGTGACTGATTTTATTCTTTGTTCCCACGAACGAAAAAAGAACAGAAATCCGTTTGGTAAATTTTTTGTTCCCGAGCACAAATTTGTTCCCAGAATCAGTTTTGGAACAGAATCAGAAATAGAAGAGATTTTTTTTTCTTCTTTCCTTGTTGGCTATAGTCGATTCTTCTTCTTTCCTGGCCTGTGGCCGGTGGCTGGCGAGAGCGAGGGCTGCCCTCGCAGCCTAGGCGAGGGTCGCCCTCGCGGGGGAGGGCAAGGGCTGCCGTTGAGGTTCGCGGCCTCGGCGAGGGCTGCCCTCACCGGATCTGGCGAGGGCTAGACCCTCGCCGCCGCCCTCGCCCAAGTCACGAGCCTCGACGGTGGCCATCGCCCTCCTCGGCGAGGGCTGGAAAAGGTCGGCGAGGGCGGCCCTTGCCCAGGCCGCGAGGGTCCAGCCCTCGCCCTTGCTGGCCCTGGCCTGTGGTCGGTCGCCTGCCAACCGGCCACGGCCGGCAACTCGACCACGGCCAAGAAGGAGAAGAAGCAAAAAAGAAAAGAAAAGAAAGAAATATTAAAAAAATTTAAAAAATTATTAATAAAAAGAAATTTTGTGCAGTTACCAAACACATTTATGTTCTTTTTCTTTTCCAGGAATGGAAATTTTCGGCCGTTACCAAATGCTTTTAAATGCTTAGAAATTATTTCCGGAAACAGAATAAAAAAAATCATTTCTTAGAAGAAATTATTTCCGGGAATAGAATAGTTACCAAACGCACCCCTTATTCTTCCCGAGGAAAACACAAAAACTATAAAATCAAAAAATTCAAGCCAAAATGAAAAAAAATAAAAAAAAATCACAAGCACAGAAACAGAAAACAGAAATATGGTACACAAGACAACTTGTTCCAACATCAAAGTTAATTCAACAGTTCATCGGGGGCAGATCCGTTGATACTTTTCCGGGAGGCGGTGTCTTCTTGAAAGCCCTACTTCCGAAGAAGAAGAAGCCCACACCATGCCCGAGAATGGCGACAATGAGCACGCCGATGTTGAACGACATCAAGGCCAACATCAGCAGATAAGCGAGCCCGATGCGCGTGGTGTGCATGAGGGTCTGCAGGACCGCGGCGAACATGCGGTGTGACTTCAAGCCATCTCTGATAAGCCTGCAGTGAGAGATCCACTCGATGAGGAATCCGAGCACAAAGATGAAGATCAAGGCCAGCACGTACATGCCGGTCCGTGTCCCGGGCCACCCGGTGAAGAGGATCTCGGAGTTTCTCCCCCAGAAGAATGTCATGTGGGTGTAACTCTTGTGCCCCATGTTGCCCATGCTCATCCCGTCCATCATCTCTCTCTCCCTCTCTGGGTTTTGGACTCTCTGTATACACAGTAATGCGTGGTGTGAGGTGTTGTGTTGGGGCATGCACTTGGCACAAGGCTCATTTATATATTGCACAGATGTGTCACGCGAAGGCAAACTATACATAGCGACAGGGCGTTGAGACCAATTGAAAAATGAGGTTTTGAGGGGTCGTACATTGGAGTAGAATGTGAATCATGTACTTACCCAAGCTAGCAACACGTACCGCTAGCGCTACAAAAATAAATCAGGTCAACTGGGTCAGGAGAGTCACATTCGTACACATGAAACGGATGATCCATTGATTAGCTTCACAAATTGCTTCATTTATGTCTTTATTTCAAATTATCAGATCCAGAATAATTAATATTATTCTCGCGCAGAGACGTGTTACCGCAAGGTAGCCATGCAAGTTAATACTGGGGATCTCAAGAGGTTTTGTAATTAGGACAGAGTGTAGAACGTTGACCAAGTTTCCCTCATGCTTCAAAGCTGATCGCTTTCTTAATATATATTTTTTGATTAAGCAAGTACTGGGTAATACCCATTGATTCGAATGCAGGTGGGAACTCCCGTCAATAGCCAATGATTCCGTGTCGAAAGCAATTTTAAACATCTTGATTAAAAAGCATTGACGAAATCTCGAAAGCCGTCGATACAAGCTTTTTCTCGGGTCGAGGCTAATCCAAAGTTCTACACTGCAAGCGCCGATTCCTCTGGTCTCAGACTCTTTGGCAGCAATGAACGCAGGGTCTAGATGATCATTCACCGGACCATCCATAGTCTCTAGATGGCTGATCACGATGACACATGAAAGTTCTTGTTCCTTCCGATCCAATTGCTTGAATTAGGGTTTCTTCCCCGGACAATGAGATTTCCCGGCCGTTTCATGTGGCTCTGGATTGACCTGAGAAGATACTAAAATGGGGCTGATTGCCATCCAAAACAGAGTCAAAGTCTTTGTGGTGACGATGGCATCTGGAACGTTCAGGCACTGATTGATGAGCGAGATTGACGTAGGAATTCTTAACTTCGGGTCGACCCCAGAATGGCATTAGCCAAGCTCATGTTATTAGATGCTCAAAACGCTTTTCTGAGATCATACCGTTTCCTGTGGACTGTGGAGCACGCACTACTTAATACGTGGAGCTTGATCGGGTCGGCGATGTGCATAAATAGGCGAGGATCATGCGTTTCGGTTTCTTCAACGGTTACGTCACTTGGGAAATGATGCATGAATCGTGGGAAAGTTACCCAATTAATCCTAAACTCATTATATTAATAACGATTCAGTTTTGCCAATTTAGTCTTAAATCTTTGTGCGAATTCCAATTTAACCCTTTCGGTCAACTTTCGCCAGAAATCGCTGATATTGCCAGCCTATCATCATTGGCCATCCTACGTGACAGATCGCCATGTGAGCGATTTTCGACGACAATCGATCGGAAGGATTATATTGGAATTTCACGCAAAGGTTTAAGACTAAATTGATAAAATTAAAAAGTTTAAAACTGAAATGGCATCCGTATAATATGTTTAGAATTGATTAGACAATTTCCCCATGAATCATTGTACACTTTGATTCCTTGTTAATTAGTCATGAAACCAGCTAATCAGAACCGATTGTCTTCGGTTCCTCTTGGAGTAAGTCAAACAATAATTAATAACATGTACTATACCACCATTCCCGATCTAGGAACGCAACCTCTAATTAATTATATACTGATTAGTGTTTGCATTTTCATTATCTTATGGACTCCTGTATGAACTCATGCCTGACGAGTGACGACGACCTAGTGTGAGATAAAGGGAATGAATCAAGATATACATCAAAATGGCTTAGGGGACTGTACTGAAAGGATACTATAATTTATATATTAAATAATAGTTACAAATACTGATTAAGAATAACCCAAATTTGATTAATGATGAATTTCCTTTGTAGGTGCGTTTTCTTCCACTCCTCATCAGACTTTTGACTGGTGTGCTTTCCTAAAAAACCTTTTATATCTAGGTAGCTGTTACATTTGCAAATCACAAGCCACTTCTCTTCCTCTTCCTCTCTCTATCGCACCGAGTCATGCTTCCACCTGCAGTCGCATTCATCACTCCGCTTCTCTCCGTATGTGTGTGGGCGCGTGCCCATATGGTTAAACATTAAGATGTGCACAAAATGAAAGCAGTGAAAATGAGAATGCTTCTTTGGACATGCAGCACACAGGAAAAGATGAGTATTTAGATTGAATTTACTCGAGAAAAAGTAATCGTCGATCCAATCGGGGATGAAGATGAGAGACGCTCATAGGAGATGATTTGATCGACTCGGAGGAAGACGTGAGCATGCTCTGCTGAGAAGATGTGAGCAAGGGATGAACACCCAAGCCATAACTAAAAAGGGCAAGAGCAAGTCTAGAAGAACGTGAAAGAAGACGACAAGAGAAGACATGTAAATTAAGAGATTATGGAGGATCTAACACAGGATCTGACACAATCCTGAGACATGATTTATATAACTTGGCAATCCATGTGTTATATCGCGTTGCACGTCATTTGCACAAAAAAATGACCAATTTTTTGTCATTTATGAACAGAATTGTCAATAATTTGAAGAATCGGCAATTTCATGGATCGACAGCTTGAAGAAAACAACAAAAAGTGGAATCGATAATCTTGAATGCAATTGTTAAAGAAGTAATTGTTAACGTGGTAGAATAAAACAACCATCAATGTAGCAGAGTCGAAAACACTATCATGGCAGTGACCATCATGGTAATTGAGACAAGCGTAACTCTAGATTTAACCGTTTGTAACCTCCATTTCTAATCTCTGTTTGTAACTTTCTTTTGTAACCTTCATTGATAATTGTCAATTATAGGCCTTAAATAGCTACATTGTACTCTTCGGATCCCCTCCCACATAAATCAAACAAATTTACCATCTCTCAATTATCTTTACTTTACTTTACTTTCATGCACTGTACTTTTATTTTTCAGACTTGCGTCATCAATTGAATTCCAGCATATTTCTTAGCTGTAGTTCCCAGATTCATATCGTCGATTAAATTCATATGTGTATCTTTATCCTAGATGCTGCATTGTTGATTAAATTCCGACGTATCATCTTTGCATGCTTGGGCTTTGCCGTTGATTAAATTCCAGCACTGTTTGTCTATGCTTGGTTCCGTTGTAGAATTTGTATTTTCTAGGCCTTGTTGAAGAATAAATTTCGGCACGATTTGTGTGTATACAATCTTATTCGTTTAACCTATTGATTTCTTTATCACTTGTGATATTTTCTGTCCGGAGTTGGTGCAAATCTTGTCTCCTTTAATTAAAAGATGAATAACGACTTTTAGTGAAAAATGTTTCGTTGCGAGAGAAATTCCAGCGAGACACAAGTACTCAATATTTTCCTACTTTTAAAATGATTTTTGAAACATTTAACAGCAAAAGATTAACCATCACTATTATTTCGTACTATTTTTTTTCGTTATATTTCTATGTTACATTTGTGTCGGAATACCAATTAGTTGTCAAAGATTGACGATTATGTGTAACGCAAATTGTTGAATATTTAGAAAAGGGATAGTGATGCTAATAGTTGATAAACTTTTGCCCAGTATATAATGTCATTTTTAGATATTTGATTCGTTCAATATAATCCTTAAACTATTCTTTTGGGTGGGTGATTTCCAAAATCATATCATCATGACAATCATTTGCTTTGAATTCATCGTAATAGAAGCAGCGAAGGACATTAACAAGGAAAGCGCACGAAATCTCAGCAATCCAAAGACGAGAAAAACTTACTAAAGAGTGAAGACTGAGAGTCGATGCAAGAGCCAAGAGGGATGTCTGAGAGTCGAGTCGCGGAAAGAGTGAAGAGCGAAAGAGCAAGGCGTGAGAGGTGAGAGGGAAAGTGTGAAGAATGTCAACGTCGAGCGACGGGTGAGGCAAGAAGGAAAAGGTGAGAGGCGAGAGGGAAGGGAAAGGCAAGCATAGGGGAAGGGAAAGGTAAGCGTGAGATTAGATTAAGGTTATATAATCAATTATATATATAGTTAGTCCGGTCCGATTTCCACCTGAGAATTGGACCGACCGAATACCAGTTCCAAAAATAGGAACCGAGAACCGGACCGACACCCCGAAATCCCTCATAACCTGCCGGTTCAGTCCAGTGCAGGCGATTTTCTATTCGGTCGGTCCGTCTTGCACACTCCTATCATTCGTTACTATTTGCAAGTTTCCACAACTGTACTATTATTTGGATTTTAGAATATCTTTTTCATTTCAATCCATTACCCAAATCAATGAAAAAACAAATGCTATCTTTATATTTCCTTTTTACCTTTTTGGTCTTCAAGAATATTACGATAATCGGGGAAAGAACACTAGAAGTGCCAAAAGTTGTGTACGGCGCTCACTTTGGTGCCAAAAGTTTCAAACGGATCACTTAAGTGCCAAAAGTTGTGAAAAACGATCACTTAAGTGCCACTTCGCTGGAAATCCGACGTGTCATTTTTTTATTAATTTTTCAAGCTGATGTGGCTCGCCGGAGGCTGATGTGGCATTTCTTTTCTTTTCTTTTCTTTTTTCCTTTTCTTTCTTTTTTCCTTGATTTTCTTTTTTTTTTCTTTTCTTTCTTCTTATTTCCGATGGCCGGCGTCCGGCCACCGGCCATGGCCGGCCTCGCCGGGCGTCGCCATCCTCCGGGCGAGGCCCGGCGAGGGCCGGCCTCGCTTGGAGGAAGGCGACGCCTCGGCGAGGCCGCCGTGGGCTTGGCGAGGGCTCGCCTCGCCAAATCCGGCGAGGGCTCGCCTCGCCAAATCCGGCGAGGCCGGCCCTCGCTGAGGCCACGACAGCCTCGCCGGGCCTCGCCCGGGAGGAAGGCAACGCCCGCCGAGGCCGCCGTGGCCTTGGCGAGGGCTCGCCTCGCCCGGAGGAAGGCGACGCCCGGCGAGGCCGGCCCTGGCCGGTGGCTGGCCTCCGGCCACCGGCCATGGTAGAAGAAGAAGAAGAAAGAAAAGAAAAAAGAAAAGAAAAGAAAGAAAAAAAATCAGAAAAAAATATTTAAAAAATTGAATTATACACGTGGAAATGCCTCATTAAAATTTAAATATAAAAGCCATGTATTAAATTTGGTCGGAATTTCTCGCCGTTGGCACTTAAGTGATCGTTTTTTCTTCGATTTGGCACTTAAGTGATCGCCGGCGTAAACTTTGGCACTTAAGTGATCCAAATGAAACTTTTGGCACCAAAGTGAGTGCCGTACACAACTTTTGACATTTCTAGTGTCCTTCCCCCTACGATAATCTATTTAACCTTATTTTAGCTTATGATCTCTATAGTAGTTGAAGAAGAACCTTATTTAGAGTTGCATCGGGATCAATTTATTTGTTCTTCTAAGTCTAAGCTTTTTTATAGGGATATCTATAACTAATAATAATTTATCCATAAATACTCATCATGCATATTCATCTAAATCTCGTTCCCAATTTTTCAGATAGATAAAATTTTCTTACTTTTATATCTCTTGTTTTCTTCAATTAATCTAGTTAAATTTGTGTGCTTTATTTTTTTATAAATGCACTTTATTTTCGGATTATTAACTGTAAAGCTCGAAAAGACAAAATTGTACGACTATTCCAGCTTGTAATATCTTGTTTCAGAATTTCATTTTTTTTTGCCGTTTTAGGCAGAAAAGGTACTGCACGCGAAATAATATCATTCAGTACAGTTCTTCCCTCTTCTGTACAATCACATCTCCCCAGAACCACAAAAAAAAACTCTCCTCGAAATGCAGAAAATCAGCCATCCCTATAGCTCGTAACCCTAATACGCGTCCCGTTTCTCACCGCTCGATCTCCGGCCATGGACGACGGCCACATGCCCGGCATGAACGGGACGGGGACGGGGACGGCGACGCCCCACCACCACAAGATGATGATGACGCACATGACCTTCTTCTGGGGCACGCAGGCCGAGATCCTCTTCTCCGGCTGGCCGGGCACCCGGGCCGGCATGTACGCCCTCGCCCTCGTCCTAGTCTTCGTCCTCTGCGTCCTCGTCGAGTGGCTCTCCCACTGCCACCTCCTCCACCGCGTAAAGCCCCGCGTCGCCGCCGGCGTCCTCCTGTCGCTGCTGCACGCGCTGCGCATGGGGCTCGCGTACCTGGCCATGCTGGCGCTCATGTCCTTCAACGGCGGCGTGTTCCTCGCGGCGGTCGCCGGGCACGCGGTAGGGTTCCTGGCGTTCGCGACGGCGGAGGAGGCGCACCGCCCGCACGGGGAGAAGGCCACCGCAGATCTACCCTTGATGAGCTGCTGATTCGTGACGGGAATGAGGTGGGTGGTATGGTATGAACATTCGTTTGGTATACACTGGTTGAAAATGATAGTTTTCTTTGCTCTTTCTTTTTTCTTTCTTTCGTTTTAAAGATGATGGAATGATATGATTTACATCGTTTTGATGAAGCTGGAGACAAATTGAAATAGAGGGCCATGAGCCCTTCTCTACTGCAGTTCTTGCTGTGTTATCTCATGTGTAGTTGCATGTCCTTCTATACATAGAGCTTTCTTTGTAGATTCAATATCATCGTAAGATTGTTATCGAGCGTGATCGTGGACTCCGTTTTGAATGCGAAACTAAACGAATTGGTATGATACTATTTGGAAAAAGATGAACTGATTTAAGATTAGAAATCGATTCGGACTCAATTTATCAATTTTGGATTATCTTCATTTGATCAACGTGTATTTGGCATATCAACCTTGAATGTGTTAAGGGTCGAAGGCATTATATAATAACAAAGTTGCATGATTGATTCAAGTTTCAATGGGAATCACAGTACTTGCGTTGCATCTCCAATACATAAGAATATAAATGGCTGGTTTCGTTTGTAAAAATAATTAGACCGAACCAATACATTATGTATATGTCAGTCCAATTAGATAGATTTAGAAACTCCTCTCCAAACCAAAGTGAAGTGATAATTTCGTATTCTCGATTCAATTTGGTCGTTTGATTCAAATTATACCCAGCTTCGCTCAATACACTCAATTGGTGCCATGGTAGGCTCAAACCGTTGGTAGAACATGTCTTCGACCACGTAGGCTCGTGCAAAAGAATATCTTTTGTTTAAGCTAATCATACTTTTAGTCTATCAATTAGCCATTGGCGAATGTTCAAGAGAATCAATTAGCCAGTAAAATAGATAGACTCGATCATTGGAATTTTGGCCGCCCATTCAATGAAAATTTCCCGGCAATGGTGAAGTTGCCTTAATTATTGTTAGCTATCTTTTTCAATTATTTGTTCCTCCGATTGCTTGAACAAAATAGGCATAAACTGATTTGATTCATCTTCAGTCCTTTCTAGAATTCCAAGCCTTGAAGATAGCGGTTAACCTTTTGATTGATTTCCAAATCAAATCAAAAGAAGTCCTAGGTCTTCTTATTTAAATGGTAGAAGCCCGTCACACGTCTTCCGCCGCTTTTGATATTAAAGAGGTCGTTCTGCCAACGATCCAATGAGTTTATCCACTGTACTTGCTGGAAACTGACTTCCGATCATTCATTTTCTAGTCCTTCTCACCTTTCTCTAGTCCTTCAAAGTTTTCGTGAAATCCTTTTTCTACACTAGATACCTCGGTGCTTAGTAAATTGTTCGCCCTTGATATAGGCAAAGCACTCATAGCCTTTAGACAATCTTGTTGGGACACCATATGCATATTGCCTAGTCCCATCTCTTACCCTGTCCTACTAATCAATACACACATTAGTAAGCTTTGATTATTTTGTTATCTTTAAAGCAAGATAATGGATTTTCCTTAGGCAGGTGAGAGATGTCCTGGGGCCTAATAATGAGGCTTTGTTTAAATTCTTACCCGATATAAATTCCCTTGCACTCTATTTACTTTGTTTACTTCGTATTTGTTGTTGCTTAATTATTTATCTTTATCGCTTGTGCACCCATGCGTGTCGTTTGTGAATCGTTGGCATTGAGATCGCGCGACGCGTTTCTTGTGGCCGTTTCTCGAGCATCCGCTACGCACCATCGTCGTCCTTCAAGAAGGGAAGGGACGGCTAAGAGGGAGAGAGAGAGAGAGAGAAAGGAGTAGGTGGGCCGGGCAGGTGGAGCTCTTTGAGAGAATGTGGCCCGTGTCGAACAAGTGGAGCCTAGCTTTGATGATGGGCTCGATTTGTAGGCCCGGCCGCCATGAAACGAATTTGAAAGCGCTCTTTTTCTTGCGGGTTTGCGTGGCTGCATGGCCATAGACGCAGTTATCCTAATAAAAGGCATGGGCTATGATGAAATTATTAGGTGAAAGTTCGAGATTGAAATAAAACACTTAGCACTAATAGCTTCTGATATTGTGTTATTCATTTTCCAAGCCGGTCAAACAATAGTTATCGGCCTGTCTCGAGACATCTCCAGACGACCAGAAGGTTCACGAGAGGATGGCCCAGTTTCGAAAGATATCTAGGCGAGACCAGATGTTTCTCCATCTTAACAGATACTTCCATCGTTCGATCCTTATCTCTTCTGCTCTCCTATAAAAACCAGGCACGTCCCACCTCTCTTCCCCACATCAAGAAAAGGAAAGCATTAGCAAGAGAGATCATCAGTCCGACAGTCAATCACCAAACGTCTTCGAATCATCTAACCGTAGCAGAAGAAGCAGGTGCAATGTCGCTCATCCCAAGTTGGTTCGGCGGCCGTCGCAGCAACGTCTTCGACCCTTTCTCTCTCGACCTCTGGGACCCCTTCAAGGACTTCCCTTTCCCTTCCTCATCCCTTTCCGCCTCTAATTTCCCTCAAACTCTCCGGGAAAACACCGCTTTCGTCAACTCGAGGATCGACTGGAAGGAGACCCCGGAAGCCCACGTGTTCAAGGCTGATCTGCCCGGGCTCAAGAAAGAGGAAGTGAAGGTCGAGATCGAGGACGATCGGGTGCTCCAGATAAGCGGCGAGAGGAACGTGGAGAAGGAGGACAAGAATGATACGTGGCACCGGGTGGAGAGGAGCAGCGGGAAGTTCATGAGGAGGTTCAGGTTGCCCGAGAATGCGAAGATGGATCAGGTCAAGGCCGCGATGGAGAACGGAGTGCTCACCGTCTCTGTTCCGAAGGTGGAGGAGAAGAAGCCTGAGGTCAAGGCCATTGAGATCTCTGGTTGAATTTAGCCTCTTGTGGTTGCAAAAACGATAGCTTTTGTTTCCGGTAATGTTCGGCGTCCAATGAATAAGTGTAACTCTGGGTTTCTTTCTTCCTTTAATGTGTCACATAAGAAACTGGAGGTGTTCATGTGACTCTGTAAACAAAGTGTCATCTCTGTTTGTGATGTTATATTGTAATTTTCTCGGGCCATGGTGTGGCAGTTGAGTATGAATAATCTTTCATGAGTTTTGCAGTATTTCATCTCTGGTTTGCCCGATCTGGGATAGATTGAGATGTTACAAATGGTGTGGAGCCGTATTTCATCTATTTACGGTTGTTGTCGAGGGTCTCAACTAATATGGTTTTGGCCAAATTTGAAGTTCTTGTTTGTTTGAAAGCTGCGGTCATCGGCTGATTAAGTTGAGAAATCAACAAATTTCCTTTCTCCATGAGGCTATCTGATCTGGCGCTCCTGAGCTCCAGTTCGTTCACATGGTTGTTGGCTATTTCATGCAATGTAGATTTCACACCACTAATGTCAGAAAATTACCATACTTTCAAACATACGCACATTCTATACTAAACTGAAGTGTTTAATTGATGGTCGTGAATTCAATCCTAACGACCATCAGCACTTCAGTGAAGGGAGATTGGAGGTTCCTGATAATCCATCACCCGTGACTTATTCCTAAATGCCTGACTAACCTAAGAACGAGAAGCCAGCAACATGTCCACGGTGATTAGAGCACCGATGTCGGGCACATGATGGCAAGCATCACCATGCAGGTCACTGCGATAGGAACAGCATACATAATTGTCCGCATGAGGCTAGATGAGACGATGTTGGTGCTATGTCTTACGAGCTTGGCGAGCGAGATCCACTCCACGAGCACTGAGAACCAGAACACGAAGGCCCAGGAGCTGGGAACGGGCCAACCGGAGAATATGATCTCCGTGCTCTTTCCCCAGGGAAATGCCATGTGGTTCTTCATCATCGGGACGGAATCATGAAGCCTTGACGGTCAGTTTATGGTGCTTTTTTTGTTCCCAAAATCATAGGGCGAAAGGAGAAAACATCAGGAAAAGAAGAATAGTACATGAAAAGGAGGTCCCCTCGGAAGCCATCACGATCAGTGTACTACTAGTTTTGCCATATTACCTTCCGCGATCTTACAAAAAGGAAAAGAGAAAGGAGAAACTGCATCAGCAGAAGTGGGCAAAAGTGTATGAACCAGAACCACACACAAGTCTCGGGACTCGAAAGTAGATGTGTTTAAAGAAATCGGAAATCTCCCGGACTGTCAGGAACCGGATCGGACTGGCCCAAAACCGGTGGTTCCCGTGGAGATCGGTCCGGTTTCCTATTCCAACTCAGTGGAATCGGTGAGTATCGGTCCAATTCCCAGTTCTAGGCGTGAAACCGCCCACTTGTCCACCCAAAAGTCAACGCTCATTAACTGAGTGCTCGTCACGTCTCATTCTCAACTCATTTGAGTTGTTTCTCTATCTCTTATTCATGATTTTGACTTTCAAGCTCAACACCTATCAATTCACGGCCGCACCTCCGATCATTCATCGCCTCCCTCTCTTGCTCTCGGTTACCTCAATTTGCGTGAAGTTTGGTGGGACCGTTTCTATGGACTCACCCGGAAATGAGACCGGATGCTCTCAGTTATCTCCATTTGTGTGAGGTTTGGTAGGATCGGTTCCATGGACCCACCCGGAAGGCAGTCTGGTTTCCGGATGGATCCATGAAACCAACGGGCGGTTCTCAGTTTTAATTTGTCAAAACTAGTCATTAGTGGGCAGTTCTCGGTTCCATTGTAGAAACCGCCTCATCGCCTCTCTCTCTTGCTCTCGGTTACCTCAATTTGCGTGAAGTTTGGAAGGACCGTTTCTATGGACTCACCCGAGAATCAGATCGGATGCTCTTAGTTACCTCCATTTACGTGAAGTTTGGTAGGATCGGTTCCATGGACCCACCCGAAAGGCAGACCGGTTCCCACGTGGATCCATGGAACCAACGGGCGATTCTCAATTTTAATTTTTCAAAACTAGTCATTAGTGGGCGGTTCTCGATTCCATTGTAGAAATCGCCTATTCAGATCATGTTTACCCCTACTCGAAAGGGCACTCAATGACAAGATTCTTAACTTCACGATGGAGTAATTGCGTTGAAAACATGATTTCTGCGTACATCTTCTCTGCACGTGGACTGTTTGTGTAGTACAAAGCTCAAGAAACTTTTTCAAAGAATGGGCAACTGCAGTAGTTATGGAAATTACAAAATGGGATTTTTATATTGTACTATAGAATCTTTTATTTTTATTTTTATTTTTATTTTATGACATCATGAGTGTGACTATGAAAATCAGTGTGGCATCTTAAAAAAATTAATAATTTTTATATATTATGGAATGTCATGATGTCATACATTATAAGAAAACACGTTTTACACTTGCTTATGCTAAAAACACCGTACGTCTTTATATGACATCGTAAAACACATAAAACAATTACATTTGCACTTAGTTACAACTAAACACTGTGACATTGTAAAAGATAAATTATTTTAACACACTTTGCATTTTAGTTTGACGGTCAAAATGTCGTAAATTAAAAATTCTGTGCTTTAGGACCTTTTGAACTTGAATACAATTGGATGCAGTAATCACTTGTACAATGTCATAAAGTGAAAAATCAGCAATCTACGATGTTCTATTCTTGTTTACAACTGAATCCTATATAGCCTTTTAAATATACCGTAGAACAATAGATTCATGTTTGACCAATTGCACTTGATTAACTATATAACATCGGTAAGATTTTTGACAAGCGTTAATACAATTGACTATTCTAAATGAGATGATGAGCAATCATACTCAAATGCGAAGTAACATGAAAATGGTGTATGTTTAACCTTTGTAAAATAATGTAATATAAGTTAGTGGCTCAAGAATTAAGTATATTTACTTTTTTTGCTTTTTGAGAAACCCCACTTAGCTTCTTCTTTTTGTCGAGTGAAAATTCATGTTGCCATTTTCAATAGAGAAATACTTATGGGACTATCCTTAATCTACTGGGCCTAATTCCCTAAAAAACCTCAACTTTATGTCAAGTCCCAAATCTACCTAAACCTTTTTTGATCTCAGAAAAAACACCAAACTTTAGATCCAGTTCCAAATTTGTCCCGAACTTTTTTTTGTCTTTGAAAAAATCCCAAACTTTAAGTTCAATCCTAAATCTGCCCCAAATTTTATTTTGTGTAAAAAAAGTCGCCAAAATTCAATTTAATTTTTAAAATATACCCCGTGATCCAGTCCCAACTTGACGTGGCACTTCCACATTGATAACAAATCCACATCAACAAAGTTCTAGGGCGATTTTTTAGACAAAGAAAAAGTTCAGAGCAAATTTGGACTAAACCTAAAACTTAGGATTTTTTTTTTAAATTAAAAAAAAATTTGGGGGTAGATTTGTTATCGTCCATAACTTTCATATCCTAGAATGGTTTTATTTTGGAAAATTTCAACAATTTTAATTGGGTTGGATTTATTATCGAAGTGGAAATGCGACGTCGGTCTATACCTATTGCCCCATTACTTTGTTGATGTAGATTTATTATTGACGTGGAAGTACTACGTCAAGTTGAGACTTGATCACAGGGGTATATTTTTGACAATAAATAGAAATTTGCCGATTTTTTTCACACAAAACAAAATTCAGAGCTAATTTGGGACTGAACTTAAAGTTTGAGGTTTTTTTTTTAGACAAAAAAGTTTGGGGCAGATTTGGGACTGAAGCTAAAGTTTGGGGTATTTTTTTTTGGATAAAAAAAAGTTCAGAATAGATTTGGGACTTAACCTAAAGTTTGGGGTATTTTAGGAAATTCACCTTAATTTACTGTGAGATTAATAGCTTGTTCTGAGAAAAAAAAATAATTAAAAATTATTGTAGGGTCTAAAGACTGTTATGTTAGCAAATCCCTTTTCAATATATATAGCAAAACTCATTTCCCTTTAAAATTGGATAATCAAGTTAATCGGTTTCGAGGAAAAATTGAATGGCAAAGATGGCTCGTGTCACTTTCCCTTCAATTAACTGATGGAGCCGTCACATTCTCAATTTCCTCGGAGAGAATGACTTCCTTAGTTTTAAATTTAAAAATACAAACGAATGACTTTGTCAAAGGGGAAAGAAAAAGACCATGGGGCAGTTGAACTGCATTTTTTAGATGGTAGATATTGATAAATGATGATATATATTATATATTTAAGAATTCATGTAAGAAGAAAATTAAATATCAAACACACATATAATGTTTAGATTTATGAACTTTCAACTTTTTCAAAGTTTGAAAAAGAAATTCACTAATCTTTCCGTGAATACTTTCATTCGATTTTTGGGAAAACGCCACCAAAAACCCAAAACTATGCCACTTGTGACAAATTTACCCTGAACTTTTTTTTCTGACACAAAAAACCTCAAACTATGCCACTTGTGACACATTTATCCCATAATACTTTTGCACAAGGGTATTTTGGTCTTTTTCTTTTTCTATTTTTTTTTCCTTTATTTTTTTCTTTCTTCTCTCTTCCCTCTGTCGGCCACGGTGGAGGGAAGCCGGCGAGGGCTACCCTCGGCTGGGTGGGTGAGGGTAGCCCTCGCCCAACGCCGGCAAGGGTAGCCCTCGCCTGAGCCCTTGCCCCCCCAAATGCCGGCGAGGTTCGCCCTCGTCGAATCTGACGAGGGCCGCTCTCGCCCAACCCCAATGCCGGCGAGGGCCGCCCTCGCCCAACCCCAACGCCGGCGAGGGCCGCCCTCTTCGGCTTCCCTCTGCCAACCATGGCGGAGGGGAAGAGAGAAGAAAGAAAAAAAAAAGAAAAAAAAAATATAAAAAGGAAAAAGACGAAAATACCCTTGGGCAAAAGTATTGTGGGGTAAATGTGTCACAAGTGGCATAGTTTGGGGTTTTTCGTGTCACAAAAAAAGTTCAAGATAAATTTGTCACAAGTGACATAATTTGAGATTTTTTGTGATATTTTCCCTCGATTTTTTATATTTCCAAATCAGCGAAATTCCTTTTTCTAAAACGACTGTTCGTCTTCTTTTCCACCATAGCGCTGACAGCTTCTGCTATTGTGTTAAGACATTTTCCAAACTGGTCAAAGCAATAGTTATGGGCCTGTCTGGAGACATCTCCAGACTTACAGACCAGAAGTTTCGCGAGAGCAAGGCCCGGTTTGGAGAGAGCTC